AGAAACTGATATTATTTAATCATGCCGCTGTTGACGCTGCCCTCGACGCAGAGGCTCTGGTCCTCCCACGTCGCCCGCGAGGCCACGGTCCAGGCGGCCTCGGCGCCGCGCTGCATGGCGGGCGTGTAGTAGACGCGGCAGCTGGCGGGCTGCCACAGGAACTGCAGCGGCGTGTTGGCGTCGCCGGGCATGAACGAGTTCTTGCCGTTGACGGCGCCGGCCGACGCGGGCGTGGCGCTGCGCAGGATGGCGTAGCCGCGGGCAATCTCGCCGAGCTCGCCGCCCTCGAGGCGCGCGCGCACGTCGGGGGGCGACAGGGCGAGCACCGACGCCGCGTCGGCCTGCATGTCGTTGAAGAAGAAGACCTGCGCGCCCTCGACGCCGGCGACGGCCTGCATGGGGCCCGTCACGGGGCGCCCGCCCATGGCCACCGTCTTGACGCCGAGGCCGAGGATGGCGAGGTAGGCGAAGAGGGTGCAGGTCGAGCCGCACGTGCCGTCGGTCAGGAGCACGACGTTCTCGGGGCGGAACACGGCCGGGGGCGGTGCCGCCCGGTTGCCGACGCCTGTGAGGTTGAAGGCCGCGCTCGCCTGGTTGAGGGGGGTCTGCTGAAAGGCCGTGAAGAGATCGCCGTTCTGGGCGACGGGGCCCAGCAGGGTCTCGACGCTGGCGAAGCCATCACCAGCAGGCGTCTGGACCTCGCCCGGCACGAAATTGCCAATGACGGCGCTCGTGGCGAGCTGAGCGAGAGCGTCGCGCTGGTCGGCGTTGGCGGGCTGCAGCTGCGGCGGCAAGGCGTCGACGCCGCGGGCAATGGCGACGAGCGAGTCGGCGAGCCGCAGGTTCGTCGCCTGGAACCGCGGCGCGTCTGGGAACAGCTGGGCAAAGAGCTCGAACCCGGCGACGACGAGGCCGCCGCCGTTGGCCGACAGGTCAATGACGAGCCGGTCCTTGTTCTGCCGGCTGCACTCGGCGAGAAACGACGCTACGGTCGTCTGAAAATCGGTCAGGTAGTCGAGCGTGCCGGTGGAGCCGCCAGGCGCGAAAGACGACACTGCGAGCACGGCTGTCGTATCGAGGCCCGGCCCTTGCATGAAGTAGCCAGACGTCGTGTCGGAGCCGCCGTCACGAACGACAGGCGCAGGGTAGCCGGGCAGAGAAGGGCGGGTCGTATTCGGCGGTGGCGGGGGAGGCTGCTGCGGCGGCTGGGGCTGTTGAGGTTGCTGCGGCGGCTGTCGAGGCCTCGTCGGCGAGTCGGGGTTGCAGAACCTCTCGTAAAAGTCCTCACCGTTGCGGATGCCCGTCAAGTTCGCCGCGGCCCGGACGAGGGCCCAGCTCGGCTCCGTCCTCTCCTGGCCATTGTCGTAGGTCAGGGTCAACGAAGGGCCCTGGAAGGCAAGCGAAGCAGACAGTGTGAGGGCGGCGTCGGGGCTCGCGTAGGTCGGGAACATGGAGTTCCACTGCGAATCCTGATCCTGAAATCCGCTGAAGCGCAGATTCGTCTCCTCAATGACCGCGTTGGCATCCCGGCCGTTGATGCGGACAATGGCCGGAGGGAAACGGCCACCATCACCACCGCTGCCGTTGGACATCATGGACGAGTGGTAGAGACGCGGCGGCTCCTTGCCGTCCCTCGACACAGAAATAATGTCGGATGCGAGGCCGTTGACAAAAGCGAATCCCTTGAACACATCGCCACGGTAGTTGAAGTGGCCGTCGTGGGCCGAAGCGAACGTTTCGAGGATGGCCAGCTGAAAGTTGTACTCGCTGCCAAAGCCACCAGCGGCCGCCGTGCGTCCAATATCGGCGAGGGCCCCTTCGATATCCGCCGGCGGCAGCATGTAGGTGGCTGGCGGGTTCTTGAGCCAGGCGAGGGTGCTCTGCCACTGGACGTAGGCCTGCAGACTCGTGATGAGGCGCTGCGCCTGCGCCGGCTTGTTGGGCACCGACTGGAGGCAGTCAAAGGCGAGCTGGGCGGCGACTGTGGGCACCGCCGCCGGATCGCGAGCGCGGACGGCATCGGCATCCTGGGCAACCTGGGCACAGGCGCTGGGGTTCGGCGTGCCGGGGACGGCCGGCGGCGTCGGCAGCTGCGGGTTTGGCTGCAGCGGCTGCGGTGGTTGCGGTGGTTGCGGCGGTAGAGGTGGTTGCGGTGGTTGTGAAGGCGGCCGCGGTGTCGAGGGCACCACTGGGATGAACTGCGGACTGGCGCCGGCCAAGCTGATGGCCAGTGTTGCCCAGAGGAATAGTAACCTTGCCATGCTGAAAAGACCATTAGAAGTAGAAGTAGATGAAGATGAAGATGCAGAAAAGTTGAAAGTCGGAACCGCTCGCCCCATTGCGCGTATCCTCTGGAGCCAGCTCCGCGTCGTCGCACCCAGGCGGAAGCAGGGTCAGAGTACGGGGGTTTAAAAAAAAGAAAAAAAAAAAGTGAGGGGATTCCGAAGGTCGACGAAAGAGCGAAAAAGAGCGAAAAGAACAAAAAGAAGAAAAGGCGAAAATACGACCCAACGACACTCTCAATCCCAATGCAACATGGATTCAATAGACCGGTCAATCAATCCAAACCGCCAACGTCTTGCACAGCACACTGGTGCCCTCCTCACGCGTGGAGCAGAGGCCAACCTTTTTGAGGCACGTTGGGCAGCGCGAGCTCAGGCCTGCCACCTGAAGCCATCATGAAACGTCGTTGGTGAGCAGGAAACCCCTGGACCTCCACGGGCCCCCGGGATCTCGCACCTATTTTTGCCCAGTCCCCCTCTTTGCCTCTGCGCATTGTCGTCTTGCCTATGATGAATTTTCCGAAAAGCCCTGTGGCAGCCACCGTGTCGGCTGGTCATGATCCGCGGGGTTTCACATGCGCTGCCCTGTCGGGGCGGGGGGCATGAAGCTGGAACAGGGCACGTTGATGCTGCCATGTGTGTCGCTGCTTGTGTGTCGCCGCTGTGCCTCGCCCACGCGAGCGGCCGGGGGAATAACGTGGTTCTATTGAGTTGAATGGCTCGAGCGACAGACAGCTAGTGTCGCGTGCGCATGAAGTAAGTCAAGTAAGTAAGGGTTGCCACCCAATCTGACAAGGTCAGATCTCCAACTCCCGGGTCAGAGCCTGATCCTCGACCCTCTCTGCGCTTACACCTCAAGCATGATGCTACCTGCAATCTGACGGCCAATCGCTCATCACGCCAACAAGATACCTAGGATGCCTGCAAAAAGCCCTGTGACCCCGGCCATCTCCCTGGCCATGACGGCTGCGCTATCGGCATCATCCCCGTTCGCCGTACCCCCATTGCCCTCCGTGGTCCCCGTCGCCTGAGGGCCCCGGCTCGTTGACGTTGTGCACTCGGCAGTGCAGGGCAGCGCCGACGTGAAGGGCACATCGGCCGCCGTGCCCGTACCGCTCGCCTCTTCCTCGGCAAATGTGAACGCCGGAGCCTGCGCCGAGGCCGTGACATCGGGCTTGGCACCGCCCTCGTCGACGTTGAGGACGGCATCGACGACCTGGATGATGCCGTTGGCGATGAGCAGATCCGTCTGGATGATGCGCCCCGTGTCGACATAGATGTCGTTGATAAAACGTGTCACGCGCACCTCCGTTCCCTTGTCGTCGCCCGTCGCCAGCCGCGTGCCGTCCTCGAGGTCCGCCGCCCGCAGCACCCGCCCCGGCACGAGGTGGTATCGCAACACACGGCGCAGCTCCTCGCGACCCATGGATTCGAACCCAGCCCCAAACCGCTGCCACGCAGCGTTGTGGGGTGCCAGGATCGTCGAGTTGGCCGTCTCGGCGAACTCGTCTACGAGTTCCGCCCGGTACAGCGCGCCGAGGAAGCCCGTGAGGTCTGTATACGAGTCACGAATCGAACCCTCAAGCCGCCGTGGCGTCACCATGAGCGACTCGATAATCTGCACGAGGCCGCCGTCAAATGGAACGTCGGCCTTGACCACTGTAACGTGAGTGCCCGCGCCCGACGTCAGTACCACCTCGCCGCCCGGCTGCACTGTGACGAGCACCTTTTGTCCATTTGTCACATTGGCGAATCGTTTGTCTGTGAGGAGCGTCGGGATGGTCTGCGTGTCGCCCGGTGCGAGCTTCTCGAGCGCGTGGCGGCCCGAGAGAATGCCGTACTGAAGCCACGTGGGGATGCTCGACTCGTCCGAATCCCAGCCCTGCCCCTTGACGAACGCGCCGTCGTTTGGCGCGATGATCTGTCTCGTTAGTCGTCGGCCCCCCAAGCCATGCGCGCGGCACACCAAACGTACAGTGACGCCGTCCTTGGGCAAGTCCGTGTATACATCCTGGTTCTCCTGCACCAACCTGCGGAACGTTGTGAGGTTGGCCTGTCCCGCCAGAACCGATCCCAGGCTCTGGGCGGAGACGGATGGGGCCGTCACGAGCCACAGCGCGGCGGCTAGGCGAGTCAGATGTCTCGCGCCGCGCATCGTGTCGTGTAAACGCAGCGGCGGGTCGATGCTGATGTCTGATCCGACTGTCGTGGATTGAGATGCCGGGTTATCGTCCACGGGCGTGGGTGGCAAGAAGTCTCCCGTTCTTGTCGTAATTCGTAATTGGTTCAACACGCGGTCGGGAAGCTCGTCAGCTCGCGATTGGCACGAGGAAGCCCCCCAAGAGGTGCAGAGACTGCGAGGAAATGAGTGACTGAGCCTGTGTATGGCAGCGTGTCGCCCCAGCTGCCGAGATTGAAGCAGTCGCACGCGCCAAAGAGTGAAGCCGTCGACAGACAAGACAGCAGGTCGACACGGCCGCACCCGTCGCGGGCGTCCATCGTCTGTATTAAAGCAACGACACCCTCACCTCCCAACGGCGACTTCCAGGTCCTCACGCTCGAAAGGCAGCCGAATGAGACTTGGCAATCAGGCTCGTGCATGAACACCCCAGTCCATGTCAGACGACAGCCAATCCGGGGATTGGGGGTCGCACAACGCGAGATTGCCGTGAGCTTTTAGATCTCCCTTTTGGGACATGGTTTCGCTGCAGGATCTGGTGTCGCAGGGGGCCGCTGTCGGTGATTTGTCCAACGGCAGGCGAAAAAATAAATAAAAATAAAGGCGCTTCCTCCTCCTCTCGCCGTTCCTTTGTTGCCCATGTCTGCCGTTTCAGCCGCTACGGGCCATGGTGGAGGTAATGCTGGAGGGCCGGCCTGTTTGATGTCCGAACTCAGTTTGAATCTGGGTTGCATTGTTGGATCACAGGGAGGCTGGGCTGTCGCGTCCGACAACGTCAGCTCAGCGCTCGCTCTCGGTGAGCCCTCGCCGCAGGAGTCATTGGCCGCGGCTGAATGAACCCTGCGCCGCCATGCGACTGTTCGTCAGTGCTGTGCGCTGGCCATCAATAAAACGGCGCCCCCATGATCTTCCAGGGCTGAAGTAACGCCGATCAACCCTTGTCAGTTCCTCACACATCAAAAATGACAGCTCTCGATCACAGCTCGCCAACTCCGCCACGACAGATACGGGCAGATTTCGACGACACCACCATCACCTTGTATCAAGCGTACAGTGCTGCCATTGCGGAACCTGCAGTGGCAGCACAGAAGCTGACGGCCGCGCCATCGTTCAAACCCACGCGCATGACGTGGGTCAAGCCGAGCTGGGCGTGGATGCTGTATCGAGCTGGGTATTCATTCAAAGATGCCGGCCAGGAGCGCATCCTTGCCCTCAAGATGCGCCATGCCGACTTTCTAGCGCTTCTGCGCAGAGGCGTCCTCGCGTCGCAGGCCACAACTGCTGAGGGCGAGGTGCGTGTGCAGTGGGACCCTGAGCGCACGGTGCGGTTGGATAAACTGCCACACAGGAGCATACAGATTGGCATTCCGAGAGGTTTAAGTCAGCAATGGGCCGACGAATGGGTCGTCGGGATCGAGGACGTCACCGACAGGACGAGGAAGCTGAAAGAAGTCCTGGATGCAAGACCGGGCGTCTCCAACGCGGAGCTGCTCGAAATGGGCCTTGTACCAGAAGAGAGAGTGTATCAGGTGCCAGAGGATGTCATACGAAGATTATGCATGGACGAAACCCCCACGGTGAAGCTAGAGGGCCGGGCTTGATGCCGTGGGGGAAAAAAAAAACGCATACTATAAGGATGATGGAAACGCGGTGGATTATGTCTACTCGTCACCAGAACCCTTGAACTACTCAAAGTGGAATCACGCTTCTGCATTCGCAGCAGTCGACTTCTGAGCGACATGTGCGCTCGGCGGTTGCGACTTTTGTTGACGGCCCGGACTTCGCACCATCTACTAAAGATCTTTCTTCAGGTCGTGTTCCTGCAGAGTGTCAGCTTCGAGTGCTCCACGGTAGCCCACAGATACCTACCGGCTTGTGACTCGTCTCGTAGTCAATATGCACGTAAGCTCTCTCCACGCCGGGGAGCTTCTCAATCTTGATCTGCAGGTCCTCAGCGACGTCGTGGGCAATCTCAAGGCGCTCGTTGCGGTCCATGACCACATCGATTTCGACAATGTAACGCGGTCCGCTGTGGTAGGCGCGAACCGTGTCAATCTGCTTGATGTCGGGAGAGTGCGTAGCGGCAATGTAGGTGATGAGCTGCAGAAACTCGGGCTCGGCCGAGACGCCAATGAGCAGCTGGAACTCCTCGTAGGCGGTCCGCAGCCAGAGCGAGGCGATGATGACGCAGAGAATGATGGCGCCCATGGGATCAATCCACCACTTGATGTTGCTCCCGGCGGCGAAGGTCAGGATGCCGAAGCCGTTGACGGGCAGGTCGTTCCGGTGGTCGCGCCACAGAATCTCGACTTGGGAATACAGGTGCTTGATGGACCAGCAGTAGAAGAAGAGGAAGAGCTTGGTGCCAAAGGCGATGGAGACGGCAATGACGCTGGGAAAGTGGAACTTGTTCGTCTCCTCATCGGAGCCTTCGGCCAGCTCGCGCGCCGACATGACGATGAGGACGAGCGAGACGGAAAACATGATGAAGCTGAAGACAATGTTGCCGACGGTGGAGATGCGCGCGCGGCCGGACGGGTACTTGAGGGGGTCGACCTTTTTGACGGCGCGATGGGACAGCATCAGCATGAGGCCAGACAGAGGGTCAAAGATGGAATCGGCCATGGTGGTGAAGAGCGAGAGGGAGCCGGAGCTGGTGGCGGCGTAGAGCTGCAGCCCGGCCAGCACGCAGTTGGCGGCGAGGCTGCCCTTGACGGCGATCTGGTAACGAAGGTTCGTGTCGCCTTGCGACTCCTTCGCCTCGCGCTCGTGGTCGTCGACGCTCTTGAGAAGCGTGCGGATCTTGTCATTCTGGGTGCGGTAGAACTCTTGGAGGTCACGCTCCCGGCGCGCAGCATGAGGCCGCGTGAAGGTATGAATACGCTTGCGGGCGCTGTTCTGGGGGATGCGACCAATGTCGGATTCCGACTTGATCTGGGCGCCGAGCCCGTACGGGTCGTTGATCTCGGAGTAGTTGGAGCGTGCCTCGGCGTCGGACGGGGACGTCGTCGTGTTTGGCGCGACGACTGCGGGGGAAGCAGGTAGTGCCGAGAAACTGCGATGGCCGACAGCTGCGGCGGCGGCTGCTTGGGCGTCGGCGTCTGGATGATAGTCATACTTGACGGGGTTGGAGGACACCATGATGAGAGGCGTGGTCACCGCCAGGTGTCGACGAAGGTGTCGAAGTTGTAGGGTCTATGACAGGTGCAGGTGAAATGAAGAGGACAACCGCCGCCAAGACGAACGACTGATGCCAGAATCAGCAACAACCTCGATGCGTGAAGCTCGGGACTCGAGGCTTGGTACAAGTTGACGTACAACCGTGTACCAAAACCCACGTCAAAGAGGTGAAGTCGAAGCGAGCCTGGATCGAGGGAAAGGTGGAAAAGGGAAGGAACAGGCGAGCAAAATCTGGGGGAAAGAGCCGGGGGACGCTATTTGAGGGAAGCCACAGCCGTTATGGTTGTACCTGCCAACGTTCGGTACGGTACCTCCTCCTCCTCCTCCTCAGTTTCCCACGTGGGGCCTTCGAGCCTTCGACTGGACTGTGAGCCTGTTTCTGCGCGCTCGGCGGGTGTGCGTGACGCAAGCCACCGCTGCTCTGCCTTGCCCTTCTCATTGCTCATCACCGATCCAGCGCGGCATCCGATGGGACCGAGGGAGGGCGGCAGACCCAGACTTGGCTCATCGTTACGTCTTTTGGCTGTGGTATCCCAACGCTTTGCTTGCTTCCTGTGGCGTGTGGGGCCCGCAGATCGAGGCTGTGCCCGGAGCTAGGCTCGTCCCTGGCAAGCGCGGCAAAACCTGCCTTGAATTTTGGCTGTGGACCTGGCTCGCCTGCCTGATTGAGATGTCCCATGTGCGGGGGGGTGAACGTCTGACCACTGACGGCTGGATGCCGAGATGGTCATCCTGAGGATGAGTCAGCCCATGAAGAGCCATCGTAGGTAGTTGCTGACGGGCTTTTCAACTTCCACTTCAATGCACCTTATTCTAAACCATCGATCGCGACCATTCATCCCTATCCTTGTCTCCTCGTTGAGAAGCAGTCTGCACCGAAATGGACGCATCATCAGCCCCGCATGCGCATCCAAGGCTTGGATGGATAGGTACATCGGAGATATAGACCCGGTCAAGGTGAAGAGCTAACCTCGCAGGCCTCGGATCCATGGGCCTGGGAATGGCGACGAACCTACAGAAGCATCTAACCCACCTCGGCGCACCTCATCTGCAATTCTATAACCGCACCAAGTCTCGCGGGCAAGCCATCGAGGCCCTCGGCGCTATCCCTGCTCCCTCCGTAGCGCACCTGGTCACATCATCCGACATCGCCTTTCTTTCCCTCAGCAACGATGACGCTCTCACAGAGATCATCGACAGACTCATTGCAGATGCCGGCAGCGACATTTCGGGCAAGATCATCGTCGACACGTCTACCGTGCATCCTGCCACTTCCACAGCTGTTCAGTCCCGTCTCGTGGAGCGAGGGGCCCAGTTCATCGCCGCGCCTGTCTTCGGTGCCAGCCCCGTGGCTGCCGATGGCAAGCTCCTCTGGGTCATTGCCGGTCCCGAGGCTGCCGTGCAAGCCGTCGCCCCTTTTATCGTCGGTGTCATGGGACGGGCCATCATTCGCCTGGGCGATGATGTCTCTCAGTCGAGCATGCTCAAGACGGCAGGGTTGGTTCCTCTCGTGTTTGTTGGCGTGTCTTGACGTCCGCTGACATGTTCAGGAACTTCATGACCGCCGGCATGATGGAACTCGTTGCCGAGGCTCATGTTTTTGCAGAAAAGACGGGCCTGGGCGCAGACGCTCTCGCGTCTCTTATCGAGCAGCAATACGGACCACTCGCCCTTTCCATGTCGAAGCGATTAATGACCGGCGCATACATGCCCGCACGAGACGAGAGGCCCTTTTCAGACCTGACCCTGGCACTGAAGGATGTTGGCCATGGCATTGACGTGGCCACGAAGGCGGGGACGCGTCTACATGTTGCTGAGGTGGCTCTGGATCACCTGAATGAGGCAAGCCGGTTCTCTGCAGCCGAGGGCCGGCCTCTTGACTCGTCTTCCATGTATGGAGTCATAAGGCAAGAGGCTGGCCTTCCATTCGAGACTGAATTTGTGAAACAGAGGGACTCCTGAGATGTTGGGGCAATTTGGGCGTTTCTGAAGTCGGAGAAAAGATGGCGGAACGACCCATGTCAAGATTCATACGCACCGCACCTAACCTGAAAAGCTGAGTTGCGCTGCGCTGTGACCGGGCAAATTCCGTCACGCAGGGCAACCATTTGTTCTAAGTCTACGTATATCTAGCAACCCTAATACACCAAGTCGACGCCTCATGCTGAGCAAACGGACAGGACGTCGAAAGAAAAGCATCATGCCTCGTTCGTCATGCCCCGTTGCTTCTCCTGCTACCATAACCCCGATCCTTCCATTGACGTGTCGAGCAGCAGATCTAGTCTATCGAAATATCACTGCCAGAGTCGCTGCCTCCCTCGGCATCCGCAATCAGCTTGCGGAAGACAGCGCCCATCACCTCAACAACCGGCGTCACGTCAGGACCCTCGGGCAGCGAGCCCAAGACCTTCTTCCGCGCCTCCTCGCCCTCCTTCCTCGTCTCCTTGTCCTCTTCAGTCTCGCCAGCATCATCCGTCGCGCCCGCCTTGCCCTCCACCGTCTTGTTCTGCACGTCCTTGCCCCGCCGCACCGCCCCGTCAGGCGTCGCCGGCGTGATGAGCGTGCTGTCGAGCAGCGCCTGCCACGACACGAGAAAGATGCCCGGCCCCGCCATGGTCGACGACCCGCCGTCGATGATCTGCTGCATGCGCCCCACGGACAGCGCCTCGAGCGCGTCGAGGTGGCCGGCGTGCGCATCAAGGACGGGCAGCAGCGGGCCCCGCACCTCCTCCGACAGCGCAGCGAACGCGTCCGCCATGCTCTCGACCATGGTGCCCTCGACGTGCGCCGACGAGCCCGGCACCGCGACCTCGACGCCCGGCTTGCGAAAGTGCACGACCGCCTCCTTGGCCCAGCCCTTGAACACGTTGCGCACCTCGGGCGCCTGCGCCGCGCCGTGGTGCATCCACCGGTAGAGCATGTGCCTGTTCGTGCGCAGCAGCGCCACGTAGTCCTCGACCGAGGGCAGCCGCGTCTCGGCGCCCGCGCCGCCCGTCGCTTGCGGCTTGCTCGCGGCGATGAACTGGTCGACGAAGCTCTGGTAGTCCTGCACGTGCTCGCGCAGGTCAATCTTGTCGTGGATGGCGCGGATGTAGGGCTCGAAGCCGCCGACGAGGTCGCGCACCGTCTGCGTGAAGAGGTCCGGCGACTGCGTACACAGGGCCGTCGTCAGCTCGTCGCGGTCGCGAATCGACAGGAGCGCGGCGTAGTATTCCTGGCATTGGGCGTGCTGGTCCGTCGAGAGCTTCGTGGCGAGCGCCGGGGCGGACTTGTTGAGAATGATGGTGATGATGGATTGGGATGACTTTTGGGATTCGTTTCTCGCGCTGGCGCGAACCAAGGCGGAGGCTTTGGCGTGGGCTTTGAGGGCCGCGAGGACGTCACTGCTGGGGGCGTTTTCCCTCTTTTCGATCTTGTCCAGGGTTTTCTTGAACTCGGCGCTGTCCCAGCCGGTGACGACGGATATGATACTAGAAGCATGAGCGTCCAACCCGCAAGCGTAGGGCCTCGCACGTACCGTTGCAGCAGATTCATCCCGTCATTGGCGTTCTTCGTGAGGCCAATGTAATTCGAGAAACCACCAAGACTCAGCTTTGACAGGAACAGCTTCAGCATACCGGACATCATGGTAGCGGCATTGCTCATGCGTAATGTTTGGCGGATGACAGCATACGGAAGCATGCCGTGGACGCTCTCAATGAGCTTTCGCAGATACTCGCCTTCGGGCGACAAGATGAAGACCTGATGGAACAGTGTTGCCAAGCTGGGCCGAATTAGAAGATCTGCCGGTCCATGGAAGATGAGCGACTCACTGTAAGATGACATACTCCACCGCCGCTGCGATTCTCGGCGAATGCGCCTCGAGGTCGGCCGACTTCTCAACATGGACGGTGATGTCGTCGATCAAGTCACCATATACCACGCCGTACAGCACGTCGTTGAATGCCCTCTCAAGCTCCTTCGCATCCTTGAGATCGTACTTCTCCTCCTTGTCGCTGGCGCCTCTGCTGGGCGGACACCCGCCGAGACACCCCCTGACGAGCGACTCAATCATGGCCGAAAAGGCCGTGGCCAGGGTCTTCCTGGTGCCCATGGCGCCCTTGTCGTAGCTCTCGGACAGGTCAGCAGCCGCCAGGCGCGTCAGGAGACCTTGGACGCGGACGCTCCAGAAGTCCTCGGGAAGATCGCGCAGGCCCGGCAGCGTGAGGAGGAAGCGACGAAGGAGGGTTTGGAGGACGGGCGAGGCGGCGATGGAATCTGTAGATGCCTTTGCGCTCTTGGCGCTCTTCATGCTGCCGTTGGGACTCGTGCTCTTGGCACTCGTCTTGGAATTGCTCCTCGAGCTGTTCCTTGAGCTGCCTTTCGGACTGCTGTTGGCGACTGGCGCCTCGGAGGTGAAGGGGTGGCCATAGCTGAGGATGGTATCGGGCTGTTTGAGAGCTTCGATTTCGTCATATGTTTCGTGGTGCGTGAGGATGTTAAAGAGAGCCGCTGTTTGCTTGGCCGTCAAGGCCGGCGAGGGGGTAGACATGGCTTTGGGGAAGAACGTGGTGTGGATTGGAACAAGAAGCGGTCAGATGTCGAGCGTGCTGCGGTATCTATAGTAGACAGAACATGAGGCCCAGTGAGGCTAGCGTTGAGAGTGTTGGAGAGAGTCAGGCCCTGTCCGTGATGGGTATGCTCATCATCGGTTGGGGCGGTTTCAAAGCTCCGGACCGTGGCATGTGGTTTGGAGCGATCTGGAACAAAGGGGAACAAAGGTGGGGGAGGGGTTGAGCCGTTGAGGCACGCCTGGAAACATGACGTCAGCTTCTTCACCGACCCTGGTGTAGTATGCACGGGCCACTAGACCGACGGTCTCGGTGTAGTTCGGTAAGCATAACCAGACCTTGTTGTCGAGACTCTAATAAAAGGAGAAGACCAAACGAATGTCCTACTTCCTTCAACCCTCAAGTCTCTGCATGTGGTAATGGCGGAGTCATGTGAAAAAATCATGTTAAGATCTTCCAGAAGAAACATCACACACCAAGGTAAGTAAGGCACTCAGGTAGGTAGGTCGGTACCCAGTGAATAGTACCAGTCTTCCATTCACTTCACCTGTGAATTCAGTAGACGAAATCGCCGATTCACTGATTGTAGGCTCCAAGAAAACTTGTATAAACAGAATGTTCAAAAGTCTTCTTCTTCAGCAGTGTCTCCCTGTATACTTCTTATTTCCTTCACCAATCGCACATCTTCTTGACGCTCAACTTCCTCCTAATTTCCAAGTTTCTTCATCCAAAGGAACTCAATACCAAAAGGTCGAATATGAAGTTCTCACGTAGGTCCACCATCATTCTTTTACCTCATCCCAGTTACCAAGTTACTCATCACAAGCTCAGGCATCACGGCACTGGCGTTTCTTATGGGCGCCATGAGTGCACTCGCCTCTCCTCTGTCCGGAACTGGTGCCACCAACAGCACTCTGAGCCAAGCTCGTCGCGATAAAACTAATACCTTTTCTATTCGCTCTGCCGACATTGAGACCCCTGAGCCTGTCGCATCCCCCGACATCATCAACCTGAAGCCAGCCGCCAGCGAGCTCTCCTCCAACACCCACAACGTCACCTCGACTCCTGCTCTCGATGTCGAAGACAAAGATTCCAACTGTTCAATCTACTGCAACCTGTTTGCTCACATCATCCGCTGCCTACAGTCTCCCACTTTTTGCAGGTGTGATAGTAGGGGCTATGTTCACTGCGAGGGGCCGTCTAAGGTATGCATGGATAACTGCATTTGCCAGTGTGAGTCCAAGCGTGCTGCTAGGGATGTAGACATCCCCGACGACCTTGTTGGAGAAGCCCCGGTAGACAAAAAGACTGGATTCGAGGTCAGCGTTTAAAGCACCTTGATTATTATGAAGAGGCCGATGTCACTGGGCGGGTCGCCGACGTTGTTAATCAGCATCATGAAGCTGGCATACTCTAGACGCGTGGTCTCATCGCAAAAAGCGAAGCTATCAAAATAGCAGCACGAACCGGAACCTTGAAGTTTTTGAAGATGCTGGGCCAGCTAGCTCAAGCCTGGGGGTGGCGCCTCAGAGCATACCTAGGTAGTAGACTAAAGTCAAAACTTCGAGCTATTACCGCCGAGCTCAGCTTCATACAAGATCAAGCATTTCTTGCCCTGAAGTTGCCTCAAGTGATGTACCCAATGGGCAAAGCGCAAGTCATGCCCGCTCATGTGAGCTTGTTCGTGTGCACTTCGAGCGCAACAGCAAAAGTGTACCGAAGATCAATCATGTCTCCCGTACTTTGAGTCTACTCCAGCAGCTACCTAAGCATTCGCCAAAGCCATCACATCTTCAATCTGTGCCATGTTCTCAAGCTGCGGCACCCAGTCCACCTTGGTGCCAATGTAAACCTCCATGTTGGGCCGCAGTTTTGTTTCCGCCAGACGAAAATCGTCGACCGCGCCAAGCCTGATTATGTAGAATCCCTCCTGTATGGCGCTCATCCGATACATCAAGTTGCCGCAGGTAGCACAAAAGTAATTCGACATCGTCTTGCCTGACGCAGTGGTTTGATGGTGTTGAAAAACCTTGAGATTCTCCTTGCCGCGCAGGAACCGCACAACCTCTCCAGGCACAGAAAATGCCGAGCAGAACATGGAGGAGCTCAATTTGCGACAGTCGGTGCAGTGGCAAACAAATCGGTTTTGAATATGCTTCTCCTTGGTTGACTGTAAGTGAGTCAGTATTAGAGCCAATATTGGTTGATGGACTCGACCAAATTCATGAGGATCTCCATGTAAGCGTTGGCGGACTTACAAAGGCGAACTGCACAGCACCGCAGAGGCACGTGGCGGTTGCTTCGTCATCGTTGGACCACCCATCTTGGGCCAGGCTGGCGAGGGGAATAAATGGCCCTGAGGTCTTCGGATCGGTTGCAACCATTATGAATTCTGTGTTGTGCGAGATACTTTGACTTTACGCAATGTGACTGCGTCTGCAAAACTTAAACTCCAAAACTCAAACTCTATCTTCCGGGGGAATGATATTTATTGGCCTTCGCGCGCTGTGGTGCAAGGACAGAAGTACGAGACCATAACATTCGGACTGATGAGAAATCATGAAGTATGAAGGGTCATGACTGGCTCGGAAGGTTTCGTATCGGCCTTCTGTTTTGGCAGTATTTGCTGACCATGAGTTAGCGCTTCACCGACCGATTCGAAGCAACGCTTGACGGAGTTCACAGCGGACTTTGGTGACCCACTCCGTGACCAGCATTGTGCGTATATTCGTGGACCAAGTCTGTCTCCCGTAACTGGATTGATGGAAAGCAAGGGCCTGCGCCGACATTGTTGGACCAAGTCCGTCTCTTGGAACGGAATCGGAGAACAAGCCGAGGGCTGATGCAAAGTTCAACACAAAAGGGGACTCATTTCTAGCTCTCCCCATGGAGGAACATGTTGCCACTCCATCCCCAGTTCAGAATCATCGTCACCCTCTTCATCGTCCGACTGCTTGTCCTCCTACCTGTCAAAATATATCTCCACGAGACTGGCGACAATTGTCATGACGCATACCATATTGCATCTTACAGCCTGCTGAGCGACCGCAAATCTCTGCAGCTTCATTACAGAAGAGTTATGATACCATGACCAATTCGGCACGTACTGTTTCTCATTGGCTTAGGCGTTTGATGACTCTTACATCGGTAATGAAGCTGTGTCGGCAAGACTTGGGCGTTTCGGGTGTTCTGGCCAACCCTTCGACCCCACGGACGTTGGTTTGGCTCACATTTGATGCAGTGATTTCCTAAGGCAGCGTGGGTGGCTCGGTCAGATGCGTTCACTGGGCTATGCAAGCCAAATGTGCGCTTGAAGCGCACCTTGATACTTTATAGGCCACATCACGTTGGACCGCACGAAGCCGGACTGATGAATATTTCTGCTGTCTATTCAAGTTTGAGATCTAAAACATCTCCCAGGTCGAGCACCAGTATCGGCTGGTAGGTATCAACCCCAGTCGGGGCACTCAGGCAAACACGATTGCTGTGGACACTGCTCTCAGTGAGTTCAAGAAGCCTCTGATCAAGGTCAGAACTCCGCTGTCGACTGAGTTCTGAACCATCACGAACCCGAGATAAGCTTCTGTAGGTTGGTTCCTGCGAAAACGTATTTGAGTGAGGGCTTCGTGTTAGTCATTTATTTTGTCTGCCAAATATTATCAAATTTGATGTCGAAAACACACAAGGATAATTGCTGTCATCTGCAGCTTGTGGAGAAAGGGTCCATTTAGGTTCTAGACACTCGTTCACGAACCAGGACCTTTTACTCTCTCTCTTTTAAAGGAAGTTCTGACTTCCACTCTCCTTCCCCTCGTGTTTCTTTCTCTCTGAGAACCCGCGACTCAAATTGATCGCAAGCATGTCAAAGCGTAAATTCCAGTCATCTTCTGGTTCCCGAGAGAGCCACAGGAGGAATCTGAATGTTTTTCTTTTTTTTAAACTCTGCGTTGCTCAGATGCCACGGCTCTGTCTGGCCGCCTTCAATGACCCACACGAGCCTGCTGAGCCTCATTGTACCTGTTGCCGACTGGTTTGGCCGAGTCAATTATACGCCGGAGTTCCTTCCTTTCGTCTTCCGACAATTCCACTTCCCGTGACGCAAAGTTCTCCTCCAGCCGCGTAGACTTGGTTGTGCCAGGGATGGCGATCATGCCTTGGGCCGCGACCCATGCCAGAGCGATTTGCGTTAGGGTACAACCCTTGCGCGTTGCCAGCTTCTTGATTTCGCTGACAATCGCCTTATTCTTGTAGAAGTTCTCGCCTTGAAACTTGGGAACTGCGACCTTGATTTCAGCGCATGTCGAATTATTGAGAGAGGAATGAGACATAGCAGAGACGTACCAGTGCGACGGAAGTCATCGGGGGCAAAGTCGTCGGGGGTCTGGTAAGGGAAGTCATCTACAAGCCAACCGTGGCCGAGAGGGCTGTATGCTACGTAGGCGATACCCAATTCCTTTGCTGCGTCGATCAAGCCGTCCGTCTCATGGAGAGTCTCGAAGGCGGAGTATTCAGCTTGGAGGGCATCGATCTTGGCGACTATTGCTGCGTCAATGGAGGTCCCGCATTGGTGAGCCAGATATCGCTTACTGGAGTTGGCTTTGCGCAGTGTCGCTGCCGAGCATTCTGATAGGCCAATGTATTTGGTTTTGCCCTGTTTGCGAAGGTTGTCCAGCGCTGGGATGGACTCCTCGAGCGGAGTGTCTACCGAACCTGTTAGTCATGATGACAGACGTTGCGAGGACCAGACGCACTAGGGTCAATGCGGTGCAGATAGTAAAGGTCAGGCGTGAAACCGAGCCGTTCGATAGTTCCTTCAATGTACTCGTTGATGTGAGAGGCGGAGTTGGTCACACTCATGTCGCCAAAGGCAGCAATGCCGCACTTGGATGCCACTATCATTTACACTGATCAGACATTTGGGCAAGACGCCGAAAACTGTGGTTATAGTGACGGCCACTTACAAAAGATCTTGTCGCGGACGTTGTGCTTCCTTATGAAATCTCCTAGAAGCTTTTCGTTGACACCTGCCTGGTACACCACCTACGGGTAGCGTCAGATTTACCGCGCAAATCGTCTGACAGGTGGATGCGATCCACTTACTGCTGTATCCCAGAATGTGCAGCCAAGTTCGATCGCCTTGAGGAGAACAGGCTCAGCCTGTTCGAGCGTCAGGTTGCTGCCAAGACCAAAGCTGATACCCATGGCGCCGAAGCCGGGCGACGTGACTTGGATGTCGGCGAACGGAAGTGTGTGGACCATTTTGAGCAGTAAGATTTAGCAGGTTTATCTTGTTGTTGATTTTCAAATTCTCGCAAGCTGGTGAGTGACCTGTTATTTATTTGCGACCGCTGTGTTCGACATAATTGACTCCATCTACATACTCTCGGGGTTAAGAAGCGTAGCTCAGACTCTCGATTCAATGGGCTGGTGAAAGCGATTGGCCCCTCTACCGCCCTGGACTTAAGAGTTTATCTCCAGTGGCCCCCTCAGGAGTCGGCTCTCCAACTCGCAGGGAGTGGGTACTTGGTGTCTGGCGTACAGTTTGCAGTGGCGAGCGTGGGGCCATCAATATTATCGCCAGAGGGCATTCCACCAGGAACGCGGTTCGATCCTGCAAATCTGAGGGTGAATTGTCATCCGCTCGGGCTCCGTTGCGATGAACTCCATGTGAGGGAACGGCCGAAATACACATCATCAATACGACGTTGACTGGCATTCGAACATTCGCCAGCATGGTCCAGTTGTTGATCTCACGCTGATTCGATCAGGAGGCGACCCCAGGAGTGTCATTCGAACGAAGCGCTTTCACCATCCAAGACCCTGCACACACACATACACACACGACGACCATTGTTCAAAAGCGAGTCGAAACTTGGTAAAGTGCGTTGTTGAGACTATTGTTGCCTGATTACAGTCAATGCTTTGCTACGAGGAATGTCCATTTCGGGGGAGACGTCTCACTTTTTAGCTCACCTAGAATGTCAAATCTAGTTGAGTACTGTTTGAGCGTGTTGCTCGTAAGCTACATCGACCAACATGGCTGGTGTTATGACAAGAATGGATTGTAGGCCAAGGGAGCAATAGACAATGCCATTTCTTTGTTGCAAAAAGGGCGGGGAGGCTTTTCATGATGTAGCGATCAGGTCAGTCGGGAAGTAGCCTATTCTCTGCGGACTTGCGGACTTTGTCGAGCTTGGTAGCGGTCATTCACCCGTGCCGTCACCGCGGGAAGCATGTGGGCTCGGGGTGATGTTAGCAGCCAGCACAAGCATTAGCCAGCCATGGCAAAAAGATTCCGAAGGTATATTAACAAGCAAATCAGCTTTGCGGATGGACTTTGCGCCGTCTTCTTTTCAGAGAAAGCCTCCGATTATCAAGCAGCATGTTCGGCAGGGCATCAACCGTTTGCCGCATTTACAGTTCTCCGTTGTAGTGTTTTTGTTGAACCATCACACACGACCCCAGCCCCGACTCAGTCGCTCCTTGATTGGACAATCAATACTCGAAACCTCTCCACGCTGTAAGCCTGGTGCATTAGCGTCGTTGGTGGTTTATGCCCCCCATCAAGGACTTGTCATCGTGCCACGGGGCTGTCACCCGTCTATCTCCCCGGTCCTCGACTTATCGCTACGGTAAACTGATTTTAAGTCCGCCAGGGCGGTCTGGCCTTGACTCGCGCCGCAGCCGTCAGGCCCGTCAAGTGGAGTCGTGGTGCTGGTTTGGCTGCAGTAGCTGCGGAACGGCGTCCATGACATCAGCCCGAAATAATTCGCTGGGGCCCAAGGCTGGCCATACCTATCACCGGCCGCGTCACAAACGTAGATGAGCAGGTAGCGTCCATGGCAGCCAAACCAGAGACCGGCCGGGGATGAAACATCCCGGGCATGGGTGGTCAACAGTATATAGGCTCGGGGTACTGGCCACCAGGAAATGGCTATTTTGAGACCACCATCTGCACAATTGACTCTATATCCTCGAACTCGACATCGATTTACTCACCCCGAACTCCACGACACTACAACCACCATGACCGACTACAAGTTCGAAGGATGGCTGGGCCACGACGCTTCAAGCGCTGAAGGCAAGATGGTCTGGGGCGAATTCGAGCCCAAGAAGTGGACTGAGGAAGACGTTGACATTCAAGTCTCCCACTGCGGCATCTGCGGTTCTGACTTGCACACTCTGAAGTCTGGCTGGTTCCCCACTCCCTACCGTGAGTTTGACAATAGCCCAACAAGAGGCCCATCTAGTTGGGAAATTTCCTCGACGCTTGGCCCAAGACGTACCCGTTCTTTCTGACCCGGAACATAGCGTGCTGCGTTGGCCACGAAATCGTCGGCAAAGCTGTCCGCGTAGGCCAGAACGTCAAGAACATCAAGGTCGGCGACCGCGTCGGCGTTGGCGCTCAGGCACGAAGCTGCCTACAGGACGACTGCCTTCAGTGCTCCAATGGCCAAGAAAACTACTGCAACCGCGGGATGGTGAGCCTCCCCCCCCTCCCCCCCCCGGAAACCCCCACCCACATGCAGCCCCCCTTGCCCCATGTGCATCATGGCCCGGGGCCGAAGAATATCGGGAGTCGGAGATGTCTTCTCATGATCTGACACGTCACTTCTTAACAGGTCAGCACGTATGGCTCTGTGTACCCCGGCGACGAGGGCAAGTCCTACGGTGGTTATGCGGACTACAACCGTACCAACGGGCGTTTCGTCGTCAAGATCCCAGACGGTCTGTCCTCCGAGTCCGCGGCACCCATGCTGTGCGGCGGTATCACCGTATTCGCACCCCTGCGGAAGAACGGCTGCGGGCCTGGCAAGACGGTGGGCATTGTTGGCGTGGGCGGCCTCGGCCACTACGGAATTCTGTTCGCCAAGGCGCTGGGTGCCGACAAGGTCGTTGGCATTTCGAGAAAGGCGTCGAAGAAGGGCGATGTGCTGAGCCTTGGCGCCGATGCCTATATCGCGACGGATGACGACAAGGACTGGGCCACGGAGAATGGCCGCACCCTGGACCTGATCGTCTCGACCGTCTCGAGCCCGAAAATGCCCTTGACGGAATATCTCGGCCTCCTCAAAGTCGGCGGTACCCTCATCCAGGTTGGGTATGTTGTATCCCTGTTCCTTCCGCGCGTCGCAGATCGAGACAATGGCTGACCTTGTTCCCGCAGCGCACCCGACGGCGGAGAGCTCCCTCCCATCAACGCCTTCACACTGCTGGCCAGCGAGTACAAGATTGGCGGCAGCGGTATCGGTTCACCATCTGATATTGCGGAGATGCTCCAGCTCGCGGCCGACAAGAAGATCGAGTCGTGGGTCGAGACGAGGCCACTCAAGGAAGCCAACCAGGCCATCCTCGACATGGAGGCTGGTAAGGCTCGGTTCAGATACGTGCTAGTCAACGAGAAGCACGCCTAAATGGATTGAGCACTTCCTGTACAAGACAAGCACATGTACGTGACAACCACAATGAATACACTCGGGTGGACGAGTGAAAATGAAGTAAAAATTCCCATGTCATGTTCAAAAAATGCTACGCTATGCTGGTGGTGGTGAGGAACTCTACCTACGTTGAGCCCACATCGGATCAACGCCTCGCCTACCAAGAGAGAAGAAAAACAAGGCCAACGGCACACTCGCCACTTATGCTTCCCTTCATGGCCTCCAGCTCCCATTACTATTGTACTGCTCCGGTACCGGCGACCCAGGCATCTCTACAGCATGATGCACAGCCGACGGTTGGTTCGGCACGGGAGCCGTGTCAACCGCAACAGAGGCAAGCTCGTAAACGCCCGGATCCTGCCCATAGCCGTGTCCTACCGGCACGGCTCCCTGCGGCCCTGATGTCGGCGGCGGCGGCGAGAGGTGCCCCCCCGTCCAGGCCTGATCGGGATGTTGGCCCCAAGACTGGTGCGCCTGGGCCTGCGGCGGCGATGCCCACGAAGATGGGGGATACCCGGGGCTGGTGCCGCCCGCGCTCGTCAGCTCCGACACGGGCCGCCACTTCTTGGCCTCGGCCTCGGCGGCCTGCTGCACCGGCGTCGCCGCAAACTCGGGGCTTCCTGTCCGCAGACCGCCCTGACCGCCGCCACCGGCATGCCACACGCCCGCCGCGCCGAGCATGGGTCGCGCCTCGTCGTGCGCCTTGCGGCTGCGCCTCGACCTCCATGCCATGGCCGCGAAGCCGATGAAGACGGCGGCGCCGACAGCAGACCCGATGCCGATGCCTGCCTTGGCGCCTGTCGAGAGACCCGTGTCTACAGGCACATCGGAGGGAGCGCTGGTTTCGCTGCTGGCGGCCGTTGTTGTCGTCGTCGTCGAGCCCGTGGCAGAGGGCGAGCTCCTTGTCGTCGTTGCCGTCGCGGCGATGCTGCTCGCCCTGGCACCGAGGGCCATGAACTCGGCTTGAGAGATGCTCACTTCGGTACCGGAATCGCTGCAGGCTGTGCGCATTGTGGTGTAGACGGTGAGCAGAGTGTCTGGCGCGTCGGTGCCGATGCAGGTCGCGGCGTTTGTGACGAAGTCGCCGCCATTGCTGCAGAGGCAGCGGTTGTTGGAGGGGACATCGTCGCCCTTACATTTGGAGCGGTCGCTGGCGTCGAGGAGACAAGGTCGCGCCGAGGAGGGGTAGAGGCTGAAGTCGTTGTCGGGGGTTTGGGCGAGGGACGGGGATACGAGGAGGATGAGAGAGGCCACGAAGGCGAGTCTCCTTCGTGCGCGAGACATTGTCGTGATTGACGTGGTCGTGTCGATGAAGAGGCGTGTAAAGAAGGTCGTGATGATAGGATGCGCCTCGTGATGACTTTGCTCGTAGTAGTTGCAGACTGTATTCGAATGTTGCGCCGTATTGACTGCAAATCGACTGATTGCGCTCAGGCCTAATGTCGTTTACGTCGCTCAGGGTTTCGTCGATCGCCTTGGTTCCACGGTCCAGTTCATCGGTTCGACAAACCTCAATTGAACATCAACATGAACATCAAGGGGTTTGGGAAAAAGGAGTAAATCCCACAACCACCCGAGAAATGGGAACCGGCTCAGTAAAAAAGAGAAAAATACGACCCGTTCCGATGGTCAAATTAGCCCAAAGCTTGTCGCTCGTCCCCCCCAAAAGCAGGGCTCAGCCTGGCAACATTCTCAGCCCAGGGCCCAACGTGGTGATGATGGTCCCCCTCCACCCCCTTTCCGACCCCCCGTTCCCCCCCAACTCGATCCGTCGTCAAGGCTAGGTAAGGGGGGCTGAGTCTTCCCGGACCGTGGGGCTCAGTGCTTGAAAGTGCTGACAGCACCAGGGCTCTGCGTGCTCTCCACGCCTTCAGCCTCCGCCTCGGGGGTGTCCTCCAGTCCTGTCCGTTGGCTTCCTGCGGGCTTCCCCTTACCTCGTATTTTTAGCACTACCACTAGCTGAGGTGCCGGCTCCTCCCACCTCCAAGGGTCTTGGCTGTCGTCGCTTGGGTGTTTTTGCTGTGCTGGCAGCCCGGCTCCAGCTCCGGCTTGTTTGCCTGCGTGCCATGATTTCGCTTCGCGATCGCTTCGCGGTGGACGAACAATCAGAAGTCTCCGATGTACGGAAGCGGTGTCGACATGCGCCGTTTTCACCGGCTCATCGCACGTCTGGGAACGACCCTGGCGCGAAGCCGTTTCAAGGGATTCCCAACGCTGGGGCCTCCGGAGGGGTTGAGGAATGCTGTCGCACAGGAGAAGCCCAATTGCGCCTCGTCATCTTACCGTTGCCAATCTGGCGACTGGAACTAGTTCCCGAAAGCGTCATCACAAAGCAAAACGATCATTCCGCTCCGTCGTGGCGATGGATCACGGCATCCTGGATCCTGCTGACGGACGAGACCCCTGCCTTGCTCTGCCCCACGAGCCGCAACGGACTGTCAGAATCTGACGTTCCCAATCTCGAACGGGCCAGGACGCATCAATCACTCGTGGGGCGCTGGCCATTGGACTGCTCGCTCTCGAGGAGGGCCCACTTCGGCTTGTAGGATGAAGCTGGTCGAAGATCGATCGCCAATTTGAGATGACCAACCACACGCTTTCTGTGTCCAGCGGTTGCGCTGTGTCCAGCCCGTTCGGCAGAATGGTAAGATGGCAAGATGAAGAAAAAAAAAGAAGTCGTTATTTCGTCAGACAAATCATGCTCCTCTCTGGCAAAACGATGTCTTGACTACACCATCCTAGCAACAGTTCCTAAGCCTTCTCCTGCCCAACGGCAACCAACCTCCCGACAACGAGATACTTGCTCTCGAACCTCTCCTCCCAGCCCTGCAGCGCCTCCATCTCCTCAGCGCCAAGCCCCTCGAGCGTGTCAAGCGGCCCGTCGAGATCCTTGGTCAGCATGTCCTCGTCGAAGCTCCCACACGCGAGGCCCCGCGAGGCGTCGCGGCCGGCAAAGTTGGCATAGGGTCCTTCGGGCCCGTAGAAGTTGCGCCCGCTCGAGACGTCAAAGACGCGGCCGCGGACGGCGAGGTAGACGGGGCTGTTGTCTTTGCCTGTGAAGGGGAGGAGCGTGTGCGGTGTGAAGGTTCGGAAGACGGTGGCCGGGGGTTCGCGGGGCAGAGTCTGCGGCGCCGAGGGGCGGAAGAGGGAGTAGAGGGTGTAGAGGACGAGGAGGGCGACGAGGCCGTTGAGGGGGGTCAGGAAGGCGCCGCTGGAGAGAGAGAGAGAGAGACTTTTGTCAGTTTGAGGATGGACCGAGGGTCGAGGAGGGGTAGACGGACCTGGAGGGTTCTTTGGCCGCTTCTTGCGACATGCGCTGCTCGACGTAATCCATAATATGGCGCTTCAATCCCTTGCGCAGTCGGTGTACGAGAAGGCCGAGAAACGTCGATGTTTTGGAAGGATGGTCGGAAGGATCGGGGCTGTGATGCTCGTGGTGATGATTCGGCATTTCGACACCCAAAATCTGGCTTGCATCAGCACATTGACAGAGCTCCCCACTTCTGGGTGTCGCGGAGCTTCCGACCAATCAAAATGGCTGGATTGAGGCTCATCACGTGATAGGGACATGATCATCTACGCCTGATCATTCTTGATCATAGCGATCTTAGTCCAAATGCCTGCCCATTTATCCTGACGTATTCCAGGAATTCCTTACGAATCTTGTTATATCATGTGAATTCTGTCTCTCGGTCAGATGCCCCCACGAAACCCCTACTCTGCCCCCGCATGGCATCGACCGATTGGGGAATGGTCGAATAAGCTGCTGAAGGGCTTGAGGCGGTCACTGCGATCCCCCTTCTTATTCACGACAAGCCACCTGTCAGGGAGCAGATGAATGGATCCAATCATGAGGCTAAGTTTGCTTCATGCATCTTGACGGAAAAAGAACTCCGAGTGAGGCAAAGAGGACCCCGGGGTGAACCCTTGACACGACTATGGTCAAGCCTCACTATGGTGTAGTCCTTTGACCTCGGCGGCTCCTTTGAGATCAGCCTTTGTTTTCGGTCTTTGACCCGGACGCATGAAATCTCAAATTCATCCTCCTCTCGATGTTGGATAAGTACCTTCTGAGCGCACGTCGTGGTTCGCCTTCGCAGCTGTTTTTCATACTTCACCCTCTTGCGCTTTGCTTTCCTTTCGAGGAACCAAACCTCTTGACTCCTGACTAGACAGTATCTGGTAACGTTCATCATGACCTCAGAAAGATCATCCAACCTGTCTCCGGGGCAAAGCAAGAATATCGCTAAGCGGTCCGCCTTCCGCCGCCGTTATCCCCCCCTGCCCTCAGCACGCAATCCTCCCCGTGCTTCGCCCCGAAGACTACTCCCTCCTCGCCGCGAGGGTCTAGAACGTGGCAAAGGCATCATCGTCAAGGTTGGCGACTCGTTCTTCACGCTCAGCAGGCTCCAAGGTCTCATTGAGAGCGCCCATACCAACGGCAAAATTCCCCGCCGAGTTGTCTTGCCACGCGACTCGCTCGCTGCAGCAGCCATGGTCGAGCGTTGGAAAGATGTCATTCTCGAGACCCGCCAGGCCGAGCTGGAGGCTGCACTCAAGGACATCACGGAAGCAGAGAAGAGAGCGGCTGCCGTCAGAGCAACTGCCCAGGATACCGTGAACGACGCGCCGCAGACGAAGCGTCCATTTTTGTGGGCGACTGTTCGGACAAGGAGCAGCTCTATTTGGCTGCCCATGGAGACCACGACAGCGCCTGCGCGGTTGAAGAAGTTTCTCCGCAAGATACCCATCCGACCAGTGTTCGAAAGGCCGGCTCGCAATGTACCCGCTGCCCCGAAGATGCCCATGAGGAAACCTGTCAGTGAACAGCCTGTCTGCCCGCCACTTTTCCCCGAGAGTCTCGCAAACAAAACACCAACGGCCCAGGTCACAGCCCCCAAGACCTCGAAGGCGAAGACGCTGGCTGTCAAAGGCACGAACCCGACACCAGCCGCCTTAACAAAAGCCACTCAAGTGCTAGATCTTGTTACGCCAACCACCTCCGAACCAGCGAGCAAGACGACAGTCGATAGAGCGCCAGCAGCTTCGAAGGACCGTCCTTCACAAGAAAACATCAAAGCACCGGCGACCAAGCCATCTGCGACTGACAGGGTGACTAAAAAGAAGCCAGCCAGTAAGGCGCCAGCTCAGCAACCAGCCAGCAGCACAATATCAACTACTAGGATGCCAAGCCTTCAGGTGCCAGCGCGTGAGGCAAAAAAGAGAATGACACCAGTCAACCCGCCTCTGACCAACTATAACACATTAGCCGGGACGGTGCCAGTCAGCTCACAACCATTCGTGCGGAAGATAGCCACCGATTCATCAGCTCAGAGCCTGGCCAGTACACCTCCGACAAGGAAGACACCAAGCAACAGCGTCGCTAAACCCAAAACGTCGGCCGGTTACGCTAGCTTCCAAGCTCCGAATTTCCAAAACCTCATAAGGTCGCCACCAAGAAGAAACTGACCAACAGCATAATTATTTGAACGAACTTTGACTGTCGTAGTTGCGAATAACTCTCAAGCTGTAAGACAGCTTAAAAGACGAAGTCTGGCTTGAGCACATGTCGAGAGGTTTAAATTCATGATGAATGAGCTTCATCAGGCGCGAAAAGGACATTCGAACCCACGCTTAGCTGCATGATTGAGGGTGACCTTGGGTGAGGGCGGAGGGGAATATCCATTCTCCAGTCCATGTCATTATGGCATGGGGCCAGCAGTAGTGTGTTCGCGATTCTAGTCATGTTATACTGATAATAAAGCCATTATAGACGCTTGGCATTGATGTCAACTCACTTTGAAATACTCATCATTTCCATCTTTTAAAATGTGTCGCCGTCTCCTTCTTGCGCCGTGCTGTCTTTCCTCGAAGGCACGCTTTAATAGCTCAACTGGCCGCCGCAATAGCCATTTCCCTCTCCACAACAGCCAGGGCTGGCTCTTTGTCCGCCTCAGCACCCGCAATCTCCTCCCTCGCACCGAAATCATCCCGTCCGCTCTCAAACACCTTCTCGAAATCGTACTCGCTCCAACGGATAATGGGGCACAGGCCGGCAAACTTCCACACGCCGTCGATCTTGCGATACCAGTGTTTGTTATAGCTGTGCGCATGCCCCTTGACGAGAACCTCCGACATGCTGGCGTCGCGGTATTTCTGGTGCGGCACGCGCAGCTGGTGGTGGCCCACCACCTCCGTGTCCGAGATGCGCTCCCAGCGGGTGCCGCCGATAAAATGCTGCGTCTTGAGGAGGGGGTCGCCGAGGACGCTCGGGGACGAGATCATGGCGAGAAACTCGGAAGCGGGCATGGCCTCCCAGATCTTGTCTAGGAACGAGCGGTAGTCGATCTGTCACTTCAGGGTCAGAATTGTCAAGTCACATATGCTTTGGGTGACGACAAGACATACGCGGAGCTCTGGGGCGATGCACCGGGACAGGCGGTCCCAGTCTTTTGAGTCATAGCTGTCTGCCCACTCGAAGCAGGCCGTTGTGAGGCCGAGGAAGTCCTCGAAGGTGATGTTGGCGGGGTTAGGTGCTGCTGCCATGGTGGACGCTGAGGTTTGGTCTGGGTGGTGGCGCGGGTGTCGAGTTCTTGCAGCTGCAGATAGTTGGAAATCTGAGCTTCAAATAGGTATTCGTACATTTTCCTTGACCACTGTCACCTTTTGTATGGTTAGAAATCTTGAATTCGAGACGACTTGACCGCCCTTATGACCGTGGCGGCGGTCGGACTCCGGCGGAGCTGCGGAGATCCACTCCGGAGGCCGGCACCTTGTCTTCGGACTTGGGTGGGGAGAGCCGAAGTCGCATTTGGCCCCGATATCGTCGCGCTCGGACGTTATTCAATGGTTCCCGTCAAATAAACTGCACACTGCGAGCTGGAGTCTGTTTCAATGCAAGGGCGGGCGACAGGCACGACATAAATGACGGACGGTCACCGCTGCGTCACACCACAGTGCCAAGGGAGCGTCGAGTATGCTCCATCGGTCACAAGAGTCACGGTCGGTCACGATGGGACAATCTCGGTCCCGAAATCGCAATCTGGGATTCACTTTGCGAGATGTACCAATCATACCAGTGCTACCGTAACACATGCTGAACCTAGTCGCCCACCTCTCGGGGCGCACTCGCAGAGCCACCCGAGCCCGACGGCAGCACTTGCAACACGGGAATGTACCTCCCTTCTGCTATGGCATCATCATTCGATGCTTGAGGCGTCATGGCGATCCTCTTATCCCGCAACGACTTGATAATCGACCACGCCGAGTAGTCCTCCCTTGCGAGCATTTCTTCTGCCACCTCTGAGAAGCTGCCCACACTGCTCTCGCCGTTTCTTGCCTTGACATCTTCGAGCTTCACGGCAAAGTCCACCTCCAGAATGCCGGATGGACGTGGCACAGGGTGCGCCTGCATCAAGATGTACCAGAACCCACAGCCAGACAGGACGATGACGAGCACCCCCGAAACAATAAACACCCACGCCGTCCACAGCGGTCCAACAAATTTCATGATGGATCGGCCTCCCGTCGCCACTGTCAATAGCTCGGGGGGGAACGCCCGCTTCTCTGGCGGCAGCGCCATGGTATAATTGGCATACTGCAGCGCCGTGATGCCAAATTGCAACGGCACGGCGAGGAAGTTACGCAGCTGCTCAACGGGCACGTCGTGATCGGGGAAGAACTCGGTATAGGTGCGATATTTCCACGCAAGGCGATGGATTGTTACGTTGATCGACTGGCGGTCGATGAGGTCTGCCTTCGAGGTAGGGATGAAGATGCGTCGCCAGATCCGCAGGGCTTCGGGTGCCGACATGGGCTGTAGGACCTGCTTGGATGTCGGCGTGACGTGTTTGATCGAGAGGTCGCTGCGATCGTAGGTTGTCGTCGCGTTCTGGCGGTAGACTGTCATGAGGGTCTTCGTGCGCAGGGGGGCAGTGGCCCAGCGTTCGGGAAGGGGACATTCGCCGTAGAGTTGAGTAAAACTTGGACAAGCTCTCCAGCCTGAGAAGCACTGCGTCAGCGAGGAATATCAATTGCCTGGTTGGTCCGCGTCTTACCTGCGGCGAGAGAGTCGCCGACCTGCCTGATACACATCTGCAGGCCATCGCTCATGCCTGCAGGTGTGAGGTATACCGCGCACTCTTTCTCAATGTCGAAGCGGAAGTCGGCAGGCAGTGGATCAAAGCGGGCTGCGAGGCCCGGTGCTCGCATGATGCTGATGGAGTCGACGTCATTGAAGGTGCCTCCTTGAAGGATGGTCGAGTTCATCAACGGCACAACCTTACGAGCGATCTCCATGCCGCCGGGAAGGAAGATGGCGGAACAATTTCCTTCACATCCTTCCATCGACCATGCTGTTGAGTATCGAGGATAGTTCATGAGCTGCTGAGCCCATGTGTCGAAGAACCCCGCCATGTAGGATGCGGGGATGTTGTCGAGCACGCTGACATCCGGTGGAATGGTTCCAGCGTAGACCGCAACGCTAGGTCCATCCGGAATGAAATGATGCTGGAAACTGTTTTGAACTGGGCCTCGTAAGTATGCTATACTGGAATCGACGGCTAAAGCTGTGGGAGTGGCTTGCTTACACTTGAGAACTGAGCCGAAGCCAAGCCCCATGAATGGCAGAGCGAGTCTGCTCAACGTCAGGAGATTGTCTTGTGCGTTACTCATCATAATGCAGACCTACCTGAATATGCCCCAAGTGTTCTTGAGCCTACTGTCGAGAATGAACTTGAGAACCGAGAACCAGTCGGTCGCCGGGCTAAGCTGGAAGAAGCTTGAGGCCGACGTCCCTCCCTTACCATCAACCCTCGAAGACAACGACCATCTCAATGCATCCAAAAGTCCCTGTACCATGAAGCACAGAACCATGGCATAGAGCTGAGAAAAGACCGAGAGCAACAAGTTGGTGACTGACGCCTCAAACACGAGGACGCCGATCTTGGGGTCCCTCCTGATGAGAACCTTGTGGATGAAGAGTGAGTAGAGAACTGTGAACAGCGCGCTGGCGAGCCACGCAGTCAACGGAAGCCATATCGGGCGACAGTGGCCCCAGAGGCTGCGCTTAGGAACTAATTGCACTTCGTCTATCGTGACGAGAGGCGAAGGATCTGGTTTCCTCTCTGTGAGGCGGAGATCTAGCGACACCTTACGGTCCGAGTCGAAATCAAAGCTGACATCTTCGAACGAAGAGTAATCCGGGTGTCTTTCAGGATGCTGTACCATGCTGGGCGTTTGGAGACGGAAGCTCACATCGCTGCTCTTACACAAAGGTGAAAAGAGTGCCGGCTCTTAAGGATCGTGAAGTAAGGCCCTCCGTCGATAAAAGAGGGAAACCTTGGAAAGAGAATCATAGTTTGACTCGACAGATGAGAGGCATCTTTCAGGAAGGTAGAAAGGGACATGCGTTAAGAAACTTGGGGGCCAAAGAAGCCCGTAGTTGGGCTATCCCATGCTGCGAACCAGTGTGGTCTCTCGACGAGAGGGGAGTCGAGACAAGGGGGTTGGGGGCCAATGGAGTTGTCCATCCGAGCCTAGAAGGATGTGTGGCTTTTAGCCTGCATGAAAAGGTGGCATTGGCGAGATGATTAGAGGTTGAAGCCTTGGTGGGAGCCAATCAGACCTGATCGGAAATGCAGTATCACACCCCATCTCCTGGTCGCTGGTTCTCGATGCTGTGAAGTCGGAGGAGGTGCAGACGGAGCTGAACACGCTTTCGGCTCGAAGGCCGCTGGCGTCTTCGTCGGTAACACAAAGCGGAGAGCGCATAGATGTTGTGACCCGGCAGATCGCATGCATCATGGAAGGCCACACAAGCGTCGCCAACACCAAATGAGTGAGGTACGCCGAGTTATTTGAAAGAACGCTGGATTCTCACAATGTTCCATGGTATTTGGTCTGTGCCGCCGGCGTGGCGTCGTCTTAACTCAGATCACGGACCATTCCACGCCTCCTCCACGCCTTTGCTCAGATTACCGTAGCGGGGTGGCTGAATGGGCGTGCGTGCCTGCAGGGTCAACAGGCGTCTGATTTCCCCCTCCTCGGGTCCTTAGCCAGAAAAATTATAGCGAAAGCAGCGATTGGCGGAAGACCGATGGTGTGCTGGTGTCTCACCATGTGATCTTCATAAGGCTGGATAAAAAAAACGGAGCAGCTAAGATCAGACGGGTCATCAATCACTCCGAAGGGAACCCCTCGCTTCGCGAATGATTTAACACGCGATGCGTCAGTGGATCGCGCCCTTCCTGCGTTTCCCCAAGTGCGTATATCGGCAGTCGGTCAGGGTCCAGAATACAACCCAGAGACTGGAATACTATCGCTGCGTCTGACTGACTCGACGTTATCCACTTATCCGATAAGAACTCTCATCGAACTGTGCCTGTAATGCATAATGGCATTGCCGAGTCGTCAGTCAGGCAGGTTTGGGTTCGTGTCACTCGAATGGAAGATGTGTTTCAAGCGTTTTACGGATTTCTCGCCCTTGGGCTAGTAATCTCAAAAGCACGCCGCAATGCAGCCAAGGCCTAGATCCATCGCTATGCTGAGGTCTGGAGACAAACTCCCTTCTCCGTATGATTTAGACATCCGGCTGTTGAATGCCTTTCGTCTGGGTCGGTTTTATAATTGTTGCTCGTTACCATCGTGAAGCTGGGCGACAAACTGAGTCTTGCGATCCACACAATCCTCCAACTTTGCGGTCAACACAAGCGCACGATGATTGAAATCTCCGGCCATTCTCAACTATCTTGAGCATAACCTCATTTGATTCTTTTTCTTACGGCACTATCCATATAAGGACGCTGAGAAATTCCCTGCTTTTCGCTGTACATTTGAGACCGCAACATCGATTTCGTTCTGCGTTTCCATGATGGTGTTTTGTGACATCTCAGGCACCATGGCGGTAGAACCTGTCCGAAGAAATGCGATAGCCGCCCTGAAAAGACGTTGCCGTCCTGCCATACCAGGCTTTCTTTGCTGCCTTCACGCTCATGGCCACGTTCGTCAGAGACCAGACGTCTTTGTCTTCTCCGATGTTAGTTTGCATGCAAAAAGGGCTGGATAAAATAGGACGAAGAAAGGATCCCTATAACATTTCATGATAACGTGAAATAGAAAAGGTGTTTGCGCAGAGGCTCACAGACGTCACTTCCCGGTCAGGAGTTCCAGTAAAAGGCTCACACAACAAGCAAGTATTGAAATACAAATGTTATTCGGAATCGTTATCACATTTGGAAAGATGGAAATAAACTCATGCAATCATACAGTCATCCCGATCCAACTTCACAACTGGTCAAACCTGGCTACCCTTGTCTCTGGGTGTGAAAATAATGTCTAGCTTTGGGCAACTCAGAGTGAAGCCGTCCACAAGTTTGTCGGTGAAAGCCTTGACTGATTGACCAGGGGCTAGAGAAACATTATAGCGGCGCAGAAGCTCAGCAGTGACAGTCCGGATCTCCATGAGCCCAAGCTGCTTGCCTACGCAGGAATATCGACCTGACAGTCGTCAGTCACTGCTTCTCACTTAGAATGCTCGAACACGTACC